GCATTTATTTTTCATTAAACATCTTAGGCTTCCCATATTCCAAACACAAACTTTCAAATATGTGACGTCACAGCCCAAAATTACCTCCTTCCCCAGGCCACATAACTGTCATAAAGCTGATTCTTTTTACTCTGTAGGCACCACAACAAAGTTCAGACCAAGTTTTAAGCGATTTTTCAACGAACAAACCCATTTAAATCAGAATGACTAAACGAGGTGACGTCACACTAACGGTCGCTCCATGTTGAAGATAGGGCCTTGTACAAGGCCCATTTTCAAATGAAGGGAACGAATTTCTTCAACACCAAGAGGCCACGGGGGTTGCAACCTAGATAGATAGTGGTTTCTGAACCTCGCCGCAAACTTGGCTATCTCAACTCAAACCCCATGTTAAAGGTGGGATAGTCCCTTTAACAAAGCACTAAAGTAGCTTAGTAATCATTTCCCACATTTTCTGAGCATCTAACATGACGTACAGCAGTGCAGCGCAGCTTCAGAGAAGAAACACTTTAAATGCACAGACTCACACCAGCCACCCAATGAGCCAGTTCTCAGTTGACTGTTTCCCTGGACACAGCTTGGCAATGTGAGCTAACTTTTGGCAAGTTGAAGGTTAGCAGGTAAGATTGAGTTAGGGTGAGTACCTACCTATAACTGGGTGCTACTGCCATGCAGGTCTTGGGTAGGCTGCAAATATGTGTGATGATTGAGGTTAGGTCAGCTGTCAGGTTAGTCAGGTTCAGGTATGCTCATTGCTCAGGTCACATTTTTATGGACATTTGGCAAATTAAAAAACTAACAATCTGATCTAAGCTAGCCCGACTAAACATACACAACTACTGACTATAGGAACTGAGCACCTACCTACTTGTGCCTACATCTCATACCATGTCAAAGTAGAGTTCCTTGGTGGAAGATTACCCTCAGTACTTTTTATCCCAGCCCTGTGAAGAAAACTAATACTTCTAAGCTCTGAGTCACTGCTGGCCATCCACAGGAAGAAACGCTGAGACTGAGAGCTTTGCCATTGTATATTGGACCAATAATGACTATCACGAATGACTATGAACACATAATATGATCACATCGTTGCATGGATTGTCACATTTACAATTTTACTACAATCCTTTTTTCAAGGAATACAGTGATGATGATTAACATCAAAATCAACATAAAGTGGATTTAGTGATCCAAGCTGTCTCCTCCAGTAGCAATGGAATGATCGCATGTTTCATTTGCCAGACACTGAGTATCTGATGGACATTACAATCTGCATAGCATCTAAGCATAGTAAAACTGCCCAAGTCCATTCATTCTAGATTTTACTTAATAGTTAGCACTAATTTATCTTGCTGTTGTAAGTTATCATTCAATATTCATACCAATACATCAATATGTGCTCGTCAGTCAACATTTTCTGGCATGATCCTGCTCAGCATGCTCTTCAGTATTGCTCCAAGGTCTGCAAAATTTTAGCTTGTTTTTGGACAATAAGCTCTTTTAATTTTACTTTTTCTTGCTGATATATGAGCCCGATCAACTTGCGTTTATCAACCAAAATTTCATAACTTGTTCAACTTGATATTGATATCACTCAGTAGTCAGGACCTCTGTCAGCCTCCTGGATACTTCAGATTGTTTTCAGTCAACATGCTTCTTAAATATGATATAAGTCAATCTTAAGGGATTCAAAACATCCAACAAAACGACGTACAAGAGCAAGAAAACCACCAGATAAACTAAAAAATGGCCTTGGAACAGAGCCAAGTGGTGCTCCATTTGTTTGTTTACAATGATTGTAGTGCTGATGTATTTTTAGGACTCTGAACGTCGGCTTATAAAAAAATGAAACGTTTTTACAAAAGTTGTAAGGCAAGTAATATTTATCTGAAAGAACTAAAATATTCAAAAGCCAAACACTATGAAATACATGAATCGGAACGAAAAAGTAACCCAAAAATCCAGCCTAATCACCGGCTCCTAAAACTGCAACACAATCAGCACTTTTCCCCGCAACTCGTTGTCCAGACGTAAATATGCATCAGAGGGTTCCATGACAACTGAACCAGTGACAACTGAACCAGGACAACTGAACCAGTGACAACTGAACCAGGGACAACTGAACCAGTGACAGCTGAACCAGGGACAACTGAACAAGTGACAACTGAACCAGGGACAACTGAACCAGGGACAACTGAACCAGTGACAACTGAACCAGTGACAACTGAACCAGGGACAACTGAACCAGTGACAACTGAACCAGTAGACAACGGAACCAGTGGACAACTGAACCAGTGGACAACTGAACCAGTAGACAACTGAGCCAGTGACAACTGAACCAGTGACAACTGAACCAGTGACAGCTGAACCAGTGACAACTGAACCAGTGACAACTGAACCAGTATGACAACTGAACCAGTGACAACTGAACCAGTGGACAACTGAACCAGTGGACAACTGAACCAATAGACAACTGAACCAGTGACAACTGAACCAGTGACAACTGAACCAGTGACAACTGAACCAGTGACAACTGAACCAGTGACAACTGAACCAGTGGACAACTGAACCAGTGACAACTGAACCAGTGACAACTGAACCAGTGACAACTGAACCAGTGACAACTGAACCAGTGACAACTGAACCACTAACCAGTAACCAGCAAGCAATTTTACTCCGGGCCCAAGCAGGCTGAAGTGCGGCTTGCCCGAGATTTTTAGTCGGGCTAAAGTCGGCTAGCGCTTGGACTAGTCGGCTAGCGCTTGGGCTAAAGACTAAAGTCGGCGTATGACACAAAAAACGCCGACTAAAGCCCATGCTCTGCCGGAGGTATGCCCTCTGGGCCTCTCGGCGAGCTCAGGACAGCCGTTGTTTAGCCCTAGTTGTGCGACGTTTGGCGTAAGCCCGATGTAAGCCCGAGCAGTGAGCCAGTGAATCCATTTATATACCGGAGATTCCTCTGGGCCCAGGCGGGCTGAACTCTGCCAAGCCCACGTTGCGTGCCCTGTCTGTCCCGAGTTAGGCCATCAAAGTGAATATCATTTATACGTTGCTAACTATTCGGGCGTCCCAGGTGGGCGTAACGGTTGCCACACCAGTTCGCGACCACCAGGCTAGCTGTCAGCCCTGTCAGCCGTCGTACGGCTCTCGGACGGACACTCTAATAGATCGGACACAGATCAATTGGCAGACCGGCAGATTGACACAGACCGTCCGTCCAGCCACCCGCTACCTTATACCTATACAGCGCAGTACGACATTGGTTGTCCACTGGTTCAGTTGTCCGCTGGCTCAGTTGTCCGCTGGTTCAGTTGTCCGCTGGTTCAGTTGTCCACTGGACACTGGTTCAGTTGTCACTGGTTCAGTTGTCACTGGTTCAGTTGTCACTGGTTCAGTTGTCACTGGTTCAGTTGTCACTGGTTCAGTTGTCATACTGGTTCAGTTGTCACTGGTTCAGTTGTCGCTGCTTCAGTTGTCACTGGTTCAGTTGTCACTGACTCAGTTGTCACTGGTTCAGTTGTCACTGGTTCAGTTGTCTACTGGTTCAGTTGTCCACTGGTTCAGTTGTCCACTGGTTCAGTTGTCCACTGGTTCAGTTGTCACTGGTTCAGTTGTCCCTGGTTCAGTTGTCACTGGTTCAGTTGTCACTGGTTCAGTTGTCGCTGGTTCAGTTGTCACTGGTTCAGTTGTCGCTGGTTCAGTTGTCACTGGCTCAGTTGTCACTGGTTCAGTTGTCCCTGGTTCAGTTTTACTGGTTCAGTTGTCCCTGGTTCAGTTGTCACTGGTTCAGTTGTCTGCCTACCGCATCAGAGTAATGCCTGAACGTAGGCAAGCATAATTGGTCTGTCAAATTGTTCAGGAATATAAAATCTAATGGAGATCATTGAGGATATGATCTCTACATTACGGGAATTCACTAATTACTACGGCCCATAGGGGCACCGCCGGAGCTGTTATTTTACCATCGGTCCCAGGCAACTCCAGGGAGCTGCAGTACCCGGCGGCCAAAGCGGCCACCTCGTCGACTCGCAGGTCCTGTGGGATTCCGTGGACCCTGATGCTTCAGTGCTTCACCCACAGAAGCACGGGTATAGCAGTAGGATGTGGGCCGTTAGGTGTCTGTCCGCCTCTTCATTGTAGGTACAACGTATACAGCGCCTGGTCCCGCCGAAGCTCGGTATCGACCGTGACTTATTCACAACTGGCTGATCCAGGAAGCGGTCTTGGTCACTGCGGGGGCTTACCCCAAAAAGGTTTCTCCGAATTAATTTAAAAGCCCCTGATTTTGATTCATTGCGCACTGCTGTGCTGTGCAGTGTGATTAACCAACATTTCCTCAGAAAAGTTGTGAAGTTTTCTTTTATTCTCGAAAAGCGATTTCGGGCGCTGCCCCGGAATTGTGGGGGAAGACATTTGCCCCAAATGCCTTCCCCTGGATCCGCCAGTGGGTTGCCACACCCCGAGCTTGACTAAAAACGTCTTCAAACCCCACCAGAAACCGATGGTAAGGTGAATTTAAATCCAATAACTCATCTCTGTCTGCCCGCCTAAACATACTACACAGTTGACAGTACACATGGTACGGCACCCGGCCCTGTCGGAGTTTTGAGCTGACATTTTCGGCTTTCCCCATCCCAAGCTCCATTAGAAACGTCCTCCATCCCCACCCGATTGCTGATGTCAATTCAAATTCAATACCTCATCTCTGTCTGCCCGCCCATAACCCATTCATTGCACACCGTTCAGCGCCCGGTCCCGCCAGAAGTATCCTAGCGCGCTGAGCAGTTGCCTCCAGCCGCGTCATCGCGAGGCCCCGCGCGGCCCATAACTGAATACATTGCGCGAATAGCCGTGTCGCCCCCCTGACCCTATCCCCTACGTCGGCTCGCGTCATCCGAGCGTTCTAGTTTTTTTTTTGTGGTTGTAACCGTTCAAACATGTGGAATGATCTTGGTCCCATGCAGTACATACAGTAGGTGTCGAGGTCACGTGAAAGTCAGGTCAAAGTCATTGACTTATGGTGATATTGGTTCAATTTTTCGATTTTTACATGTTTCTATAGTATAGTTTTTGGAGTTGAACCTGTTACCCTAGACCCTAGATTTGCCCTAAATTTCGAGCTTACCATCCATTTGAACATTTACTAAGTAGTTTTGGGGCCTTCGTAACATGCCACGAAGCTGTCAGAGGCGGTTGATGCGTACTACGAATGCCCGGTAGGACAGCTACTGGTTGACCTGACCTGAGCTGACCCGACCTGGCCTAAAGACATCATCTGTTATCAAAAATATCATGATATTTACTCGTGATCAGCTCCCTGAAAAAACCATAGACGCCACAAATCACGACGTACTAACAGGTCGAATGATCGGGAAATGTTGACGTAAAACTCGACTGAAGGTCCTCCGAGGCCCCCCTGTGCCATTTCCACAACATTCGCTCCCTCCCCAGTCCCCAGAAGAGGCACCCCCTGCAGGTGTCGGCGAGCTGAGGTCATGAGGTCATTATAGGTCCGCCCGTCACTGTCACCGCTCCAAGTGTCAGCGGTCAGTTGGGAGGGCGGCGGTGACAGTGCCGCTCGGACGGCGATACGATACACTTCCAGTACAGTCGGTCCATACCTGCCGGTCCCCAATGGCCGCCCACCGCTGCTGTACCGGCCCCCTGCCGCTGCTGCTGCTGGGGCTGCTGCTCTCATGGGTGCCGCTCTGCCACGGAGCAGCCTGGACTCGACCGGCCACCGTCCATCCCGGTACGTAGGACGCTCCGTCCCCACCTAGCTGTGCCTAGAGGCGAGGTGCAATTTACGCCAACCACTCCACCCGAGCCGTTAGGGGGTGTTAGGTCCCCTCCCTCCCCTTCCTCCCTTTGACCTTGTTTTGACCCTTGGTCAAATCAAGGAACACTAGAGGTAAGGTTTCTAATGACATGTCGAGTGTCGAATGTCCCCGCTCTGTCCCAAAGTGCTCCGATAGGACTAGCCTAGTCCGTCTAGTCGCATTCATCCACCGACGGTGACCCCCCCCCCCCCCCCACGGCTCCTCCGCAGGCCGGGAGGGCGAGTGCTATGTCTCGGAGGACGATGTGGACGTACCTGGCGGGATCTACCTGAAGCCGGGTCAGGACTACTACCGCTCTCCGGCCGCCTGTGAGGTCTTCAAGTGCAGAGAGTCCTCCAGAGGTCTGGAGCTCAGCTTTTCCTCGTGAGTCGCTGGGATGTTCCACAGCTGCTCAGTTCGTATGGAGATATTGTTCATTGAACTTACTCAATCCTTTGTCTATTTACTCAATGCCGAGTATGTACGAACGGGTGACACCTTCCAATATGTAGTTGAACGGTCGTACCTATGACAGCAGGCAGTGTTTCCTGCGCTATGCACTGGTGAGGCCATCCGACGTTGAGAAAAAAGTAGCTACTTAATTCGGTTGGTAGCATTGAAAACAATTTAAGTGTTTTCTGTGCTATTTCAGGTGCGGTGTGCTCATCCCTTCCGAGGGGTGTACGCTGGTATCCGATGATTCCGTCAACTACCCGCACTGCTGCCCCGAGATCCGGTGCACCGGATCTCGGCGGTGCTAGCTGAGCTAGCACCGCGGTGCTAGCTCGGCTCCGAGATCGGCGCTGGGTATGGACTGTCGTGTGGCCGCTGGTTACGTGATGTCCGTCTTGACACCAGGGTGGTCAATACACGAGTTCGGAGGCGTCTCGATAGTGTTTGGGACCAACCGGCCACACCAATACTCACGGCCGTCGTGGATCTGGATGGCGCGCGATCTAGCGAGTGTTTGTCGCTATTCTCGTTTTCCCGTTCACCCGAGAACACACCAGAGGCCACTCCAGGCTACATCACGACTCCCGCTCCACGACTCCACCCCAACAGACACAGCAGCTACACTTGAGATGTCTTTATTTTTCAGCGCGCGTGGCGCTGGCGACCACTGTGCGCCGAGCAGCACGGACCACTGTGCGCCGGGGGCCCGCCCCGCGGCCCGGGGGCGTCCCACCCGGCACCCGGCACAGTACACACATATGGAGAGCACACAGTTCACACACAGTTCACACACACAGCCCGGGGCGACTGCGTAAGTCGCCGGTACACCAGGGTCGCACTGACACCGCCGACACCACACGAGCCGGGCGTCCCGGCACACCGTAAAACACTGCCGACGTAGATCTGAGGTTACTGCATGTACTGGGTTAGTCGCCTATGCACTGGGTCCGGCCCGCCGCACAGGGCCATTCGTCGTCGTTACTTTGTACAGGTAAAACGCGCCACTGCGGGTAACTCGCGTACTGACGGCGACCTGCTCATACTATAGGTAGCGCCCATATCGTAACGTTTTAGCATAAGTAACGTGCTGCGAGCTGATACAAATAATTAAAAACGCAAAACACCAATCCCCGAGCGTAAGTCGCCAAGCGTCGGACCCACGTGCCCCCGGTTGGCCGCTGTGGGCCGGCGGTGGGCACCGTATGGTCCGGTTCTCCATATCTACAGCGTACAGCCCAGACGGAAACTACTCGAGCCCTGCACCTCTATCACACTCGGCGCGACCGGCCGCAGTCAGTTACACACACAGACGGAGAGCGATATACCGGGGCGACACTGCTCGTGCCGACACGTCCGGCCTCACACCGTATAATTGTAATATCTACTCTCTGATCACCATATACAGTCTCTGACACCACAGACACACCATAGACAGCAGTCTCTGACACTATATGTAGTCAGTCTCTGGCACCACATACTACCATAGACAGCAGTCTCTGACCAACACAGCCGCCTCAATAACACCTCAGTCCCCGCACACGCAGACAGACCCCGGCCGTCCAGCCGTCCACCACTACACCGTACGCCGGCGACCCGGCCCGGCTGGTCGTTGAACTTTTTTTGTACATTTTACACTGACTGTCTGACCTGAGGGGCGGCGGTCAGTCGAACACAGCAATATCACGGCAGGGCGAGGCGGCGGCGCGGCGCGACTACAACGGCGCGCCGCCGCCGCCGAGCGCCCGGACTATGTACACAGCCCAGTGGAACACATCAACACACACCACACACACCGTCACACGGGGGCAGCGGGAGCGGGGCGGGCCGCTGGGACCCCGGCGGCCCGTCAGAGGCATAGCGACACGTCTGTACACACCGAGGAGCAGGAACCACTGCAGGAGGACGGCGGACGTCCACCGCTCCTGAGGACGACCCTCCCGCTCTCTCCCCTAATCCTCTCCCTCCCCCTCGGCCAGTGCCCAGCACTCCCCACTTCTCTCTCTCCTCTCTCCCCTATTCCTCTCCCTCGCCGTCTCCCTCGGCTAGTGCCCAGCACTCCCCACTCCTCTCTCCCCTATTCCTCTCCCTCGCCCTCTCCCTCGGCTAGCGCCCAGCACTCCTCGGCCTCCATGAAGTAGCGGTTGGCGGCGCGCCCCTTCATGGCCGCCGAGGCCTTCTCGGCGGCGCTGTTGAACACCTCGGCGGCGCGCGAGTAGTCGGGCTCGAGGCGCGGCCCGCCGGCCTTCAGCATCTCGGCGCAGCGGCCCATCAGCAGGTAGGTGGGGTCCTCGGCCACGGCGCTCTCGTCCACGTCCGTGTCCGCCGCCAGAGCGTACCTGAGATAGTCAGAGGGACAGGTATATCAGTCACAGAGCCGCCAGAGCGTACCTGTGGTAGGCAGAGGCACAGGTATATCAGTCACAGGGCTGCCAGAGCGAACCTGTGATAGAGAGACATACGTATAGGAGATACAGAAACTACAGACATGGTACTTGTGATACACACAGATAGACACAGTCAGAAAAATTGCAATAGCCAGCAAATAGACGGAAACGCAACACACGCAGTCTGCATCGCTCACGAGTATATGGCTCTATTCTAGTCTCCCTCTCCATAACTTCTCTGTCCCCTTTTTTGGCCCATACGTGAACCACTCTTGACCCGTGGAAGGGCGCTCACCAGTGGACGGCCCTGCTCCCGTCTCCCTGCCCACTTTCCTGCAATCTCCGCACTCACCAGTGGACGGCCCTGCTCCAGTCTCACTCTCCCTCCCCACTCCCCTGCAATCTCCCCACTCACCAGTATCGGCCCTGTTCCAGTCTCCCACACTAATCCCCTGTCCCACACTCACCAGTGTACAGTCCTGATCCAGTCTCCCTGCCCACTCCCCTGTCCCACACTCACCAGTGGACGGCCCTGTTCCAGTCTCCCACACTACTCCCCTGTTCTCCGCACTCACCAGTGGACGGCCCTGTTCCAGTCGATATCCTTCTCGCCGGCCGGCAGGTAGGTGCCCAGCTCGTAGCTGCGCGCCAGATCCACCATGGCGGCCCGGTCGCCGGCCTGCGCGGCCCGCTCCAGCAGCGAGATGCCGCGCCGCCGAGTCTCCGCGCTGTCCTCCAGCTGGGGGCACCGGGGAACAGGGGTCAGGGGAGGTCTGCCGGTAGGGGAGCGGAGCTGGAGCAGGCTTTCAACGTGGTGGTACATCATTTAACACACACCACGACAAAACATGGAAAACACCAAAACGGACCTAAGCGAACTGATAGAATATGCTTAGAGATCAAAACAATTAGTTTTATTTTAACTAGCGAACCATAGAACTAGAAACAGCCCAGCAAAATAAGCGCAATTGACAAATCAGACCAGTCACGGCCAACCACGCTGTGCTTTATTCCCTATATACCTGAGCGCCCACCTTTCCTTCGGCGTCACAGGGCCCTGGTCCGCCCCTGCGCCCGCGCCATAACAGTCCACCCACCCTAACCTGTACGTCTGGGGGCAGGTCCCCTGCGTCCGTACCCGTACGGTCCGTCCCGCCCCGTTCGTCCCGTCCCGTACCTGTACGTCCGAGAGCAGGTCGTGCGGCCGTCCCAGGCAGATGTCGGCCAGGGTGATGATGGCCTCGCGGACGCCGCAGTCGACCGCCCGCTCCAGGTGGAACATGCCCGCAGAGCGATCGTACGCCGCCGTCTTGTCCTCGCCCAGGAAACGACCCACCTGAGGGGGGAGTAGAGGGGGAAGGGGGTCAGAGCGGTCGTACGCCGCCGTCTTGTCCTCGCCCAGGAAACGGCCCACCTGAGGGGGGAGTAGAGGGGGGGGGGGGTCAGAGCGGTCGTACGCCGCCGTCTTGTCTTCGCCCAGGAAACGGCCCACCTGAGGGGGGAGTAGAGGGGGGGGGGGGGGTCAGAGCGGTCGTACGCCGCCGTCTTGTCTTCACCCAGGAAACGGCCCACCTGTCCGCCAGGAGAGGGGGAGGGGTCAGAGCGGCCAACAGATGGGGATTTTAAGGTGACGGAGAAAGGAGAAAACCGTAATATAGGCAAAGAAAATGTGAAGATAACAGAGGCTAAGAAAATGTGGTGAAAAAAGAGGAAGAGAGGAGAGTTGGAAAGAGTTGGATAAATAGAAAGGGATGGAGACAGGTAGCAAAGAGCCAAGGGGCCAACCTAACGATATACACTCTATATCGTTGAGAGCTGCTGCGAGGAGCATGATAACTGTAGGAAGTATCATTAGAATATATGACCTTCTCCTCGGAAAATGACCAAATGAATGAAAATGATTATTTATTGATGAATTGATAGATCGATAGATCGATGATAGATTTATATCAATTCATCAATAAATAATCATTTTAATTCATTTGGTCATTTTCCGAGGAGAAGGTCATATATTCTAATGATACTTCCTACGATATACACTCTATATTAACGCATATGGTATATGGTAATACAGCTGGGTTTGATAACCAAATAGCATACAAAACACCAATGGTGACGCTGCCACCACGCCAGAGGATTCCCAATAATTGGGTGACCAAGGTCTATGGACCAAGGTAAATAAATACATACATTGACTCTCCGCCCAGTCTGTCTACTGCCCCCGAGCCAGACAGGGCGACCAGTAACACACGTGGCCGCTGTGGCCGGGCCGTCCTCTCACCTCGTGATACTTGGCCAGGTCGAAGTGGATCTGTCCCAGGATGGAGGGCGCCTCCGCCGTGGAGATGCGGCACACCTCGGCCTCGATGTTGGACGGACGCTGCTTGTTGCTGATCACCTCCTGGCGATACAGGCAGAAGAACACAGTGCTAAACAGACTAGTCGGTGCTCAGTTTTTTTTTTTATCTGTTCGAACCGAATGTGACAGGCACTGGCAATGGTTTCGAACAGGAATGTAGCACAATTAAAAGCATACGATAAAGCTTCCTTACCGAGGCCCGGTGCCTGACCCTCCCATCCCCACCGGCGAACCGATGACGGCTGTGCCCTACCTCCCCCGGCGGACCTGTACGGTGTACCGTCTGTACCCCTCCCCTGTACCTGGAAGAGGGCCCTCTCGGCCTCCCTGCTGCCGGCGCCCGTACACTGTAGTGTACCCTGTACGGTGTACCGTCTGTACCCTCCCCTGTACCTGGAAGAGGGCCCTCTCGGCCTCCCTGCTGCCGGCGCCCTGGCTCAGCAGCGGGTGGCTGCGGCCGCTCGGGTGCAGCGAGGGCACCGTGCGCGCCGGCCGCTCCGGCCGCGAGGGCGACGAACAGAAGCCGTCCCCGCTGCTGCCGGGACTGGAGCCGGCGGCCGGCCGGGGGCAGGACCACTCAGGACAGGAGCAGGACTGCGGCGGAGGGGGATATGGGAGGTCATATTGGGGAATCGGAGGGGACGGGGACGGGGGAGAGGTTACACAGGATCACTGCGGGCAGGAACAGGACTGCGGAGGAGGACAGGGGAAAGCCAGAATGAGGAAGGACCGGGAAAAAAACGGGCGGGCAGGTGAGGGGTCAGATGAAAAGGATAAAGTATCAGATTCAGATGATACTGGTGGACAGGTTGGATCAGAAGGCACGAAACGAGTTAGGAACAGCTGGGGGTGTAAAGACACGTAGATTAGAACTGATAGCGCGGATCGAGGGCCACATAAATTACAGGTGACATGGCATATGAGCGAAACTGATGGGTCAACTGACTGCGTAATCAAGAGGTGGCAGCTCCAAACCAGGCATGATCGGCGCTGGGGGCTGATCAGACTCCGTTAGGCCGTCCTACAGCGCCATCTAACGGGCAGTCCTCACCTGGAACCGCAGACAGTCGCTGGCCAAGGGCCTGTCGCTCTCACCTGGAACCGTAGACAGTCGTTGGCGTCTGTGGAGCCCGTCGAGCTCTCGCTGATGAAGCGGGTCCGCTTGGCGATGAAGGCCGAGTCACGCGCGGAGTCGGACAGCTCGTTATAAAACTGCGGCGGAGACGAGGCCTCCTGGGAACGAGGAGTCAAGAGTCAGAGTCAGAGTCAGTCGCGCGCAGTCAGACAGCTCGTTATAGAACTGCGGCGGAGACGAGGCCTCCTGGGGACAGGGAGAGTCAGAGTCAATGGCGCGCAGTCGGACAGCTCGTTACAGAACTGTGGCGGAGACGAGGCCTCCTGGGGACAGGCGAGTCAGAGTCAATGGCGCGCAGTGGGACAGCTCGTTATAAAACTGCGGCGGAGACGACGCCTCCTGGGAACAGGGGGAGTCGGAGTCAGAGTCAGAGTCAGTCGCGCGCAGTCAGACAGCTCGTTATAGAACTGCGGCGGAGACGAGGCCTCCTGGGGACAGGGAGAGTCAGAGTCAATGGCGCGCAGTCGGACAGCTCGTTACAGAACTGTGGCGGAGACGAGGCCTCCTGGGGACAGGCGAGTCAGAGTCAATGGCGCGCAGTGGGACAGCTCGTTATAAAACTGCGGCGGAGACGAGGCCTCCTGGGGACAGGGAGAGTCAGAGTCAATGGCGCGCAGTCGGACAGCTCGTTAACTGCGACGGGGACGACGCCGGGGACAGGCGAATGGGGGCGGTCACCGCGCGGTGGAACAGGATACTGCTCAGTGCTCACTGCTCAGGTCACGGCAGCACAGTCTGGGAGACGCCGGGGTCACGGCACAGTCGAGCGGGGCGCCGAGAGCCGATGGGAGGCAGCGTCCACCTACATTTATGGACAGCTCTGACGATACCATGGGAGGACAGCGATTTCAAATGGAATCGGATGGGAGGAGAGCTATTTCAGCACTACCAAAGTGGTTGATTTTTTTCCTATTTCAAATGAATAGTTCGTTGAGCAAGCATTACTCAATGGTTGGAGCAGACTATCATCCTAGCACAAAATGACGCTTATTAATAATCGTGCCAGTCAACGGGAACACATGGCAGCTGGTATTCTCAACCCCCCAAAAAGCGCCAGCAAACATTTTAAGTCAACCCAACTCTGTCATCCACTCGCCATCATTACCCTCCTGTCCCCCCCCCCCCCCAACACACCGCAGAATCGGCAGACTCACCAGTGGACTGGCGAGTGGTGACCCCTAACCTCCCCCTCCGGTGGAGACCTCCCTCCCAGACCAGTGCCTCACCAGCGGACCAGTGGTGATGCTCCCCTCCCTCCGGACTCACCAGCGGACTGGTGACCTCGTCCCTCCCTCCCCCTATTTTGACCTCCCTCTGACTCACCAGCGGACTCACCAGCGGACTGGTGACCTCGTCGCCGCTCCAGTGGTGATCCTCCCTCCAGTGTAGAGTCCTTCCCCTCCTCCCTCCCCTCCCTCCCTCCAGTGGTGACCCCTGCCTCCCAGACCAGTGACGGACTCACCAGCGGACTGGTGACCTCGTCGCCGCTCCAGTGGAGACCCCTCCCTCCCAGTCCAGTGCCTCACCAGCGGACTGGTGACCTCGTCGCCGCTCCAGTGGAGACCCCCCTCCCTCCCTCCAGTGGTGACCCCTGCCCCCCCAGTCCAGTGCCTCACCAGCGGACTGGTGACCTCGTCGCCGCTCCAGTGGAGACCCCCCTCCCTCCCTCCAGTGGTGACCCCTGCCCCCCAGTCCAGTGCCTCACCAGCGGACTGGTGACCTCGTCGCTCCCTCCCCCTATTTTGACCTCCCTCCCCTCCCTCCGACTCACCAGCGGACTGGTGACCTCGTCGCCGCTCCAGTGGTGACCCCCCCCCCCCCACCCTCCCCAGTCCAGTGCCTCACCAGCGGACTGGTGACCTCGTGCCCACTCCAATGGTGACCCTCCCTCCCTCCCTCTATCCAGTGGAGACCCCACTCTCCCAGTCCAGTCGGCAGACTCACCAGCGGACTGGTGACCTCGTCGCCGCTCCAGTGGCCCGAACTGGACGAGCGGCGCCGCATGTACTCGTGCAGGTCGAACTCGTGCTCCCGCGGCGAGGCGCACACCTCCTCCAGACCGCGAGACAGCGTCTTACTGCGTTGCTGGGGAGAAGATAGAGGTGTAACGGACGTTAAATGGAGATGCAGCTTATCAGCTGAGATGAAGACAAACGAATATAATGAAAATACTCGTAAATCTGTCTACCTGTCTGTGACTCTCTGTATCTCTCTTCCTCTCTCACCTGCAGATTGATCTGTGTGGAGAGCTCCCGCCTCTCTGTCTGTCTGTCTGTCTGTCTGTCTGTCTGTCTGTCTGTCTGCTCCCCTCACCTGCAGTTTGATCTGTGTGGAGAGCTCCTTGCTCTCGGTGGGCGCCAGGTCGAAGGCCGTCAGGTTCAGTGAGTGGCAGATGGTGTTACAGACGTGAGAGTGGAAGAACAGCGCCATACCGCGCGTGCCCAGGTTGCCGTCTCCGTAACTCTCTCCTGTACAGATGGGCAGAGGGCGAGGGGTTATCGGGAGCTAGAGGGAAACGCTCAAACACTTCACCAGCAAGACACCATACAATGTTACAAAACGATTGGATTCCCTGATACGCATCATGAGGGGTAGGCGAATAGCGGACGTGAGCATGTTAACCTTCGAATAATCCTGCGACGAATAAATCCTAACGACGAATAATCCTGTAATCTAGGACTCCTAAGCCTTTCCTGCACTTCAATACACATCAACATACACTGAAGTTAGCAATTCAAAATGTTACAAATAGAGATGTCAATCGGATACCAACTTTTTGGTATACCGATACCAAACCGATACCAACTCGGTATTTGGTATTTCAATCCTAATGTGTTTGGTATTTTGTTGGTATCATGAACCCTCGCTAATGTTTAAGAGGTTAAGAAATCGGTAAAAAGTTGGTATTTTCCTCATGTTCCCAAGTTGGTTTGGTTTCGGTATTTCTCCACGGTTTTGGTTGGTATTTGGTTTGGTATCGGTATTCCGATTTTCCGTAATTGACATCACTAGTACAAAGCCCTTTCGCTGAATCAACAACCAATGACGAACTCTCTCCTTTTTCTCAGTCAACTACTATGAACGTCAAACCCCTTGAGACCCCACTTTTTTGCGATAATTTTTAAATGCGTCAACTTTCGTTGACAATATTCTGGCTATGTATGTTTCAGAACCTGCCGAAACTTTTATTACTAAGGTATTTTGACGCCAAACGATTATGGAAGGTACTTCTCATTCACTCGTAATGCTAAGGTCAATTCAGGCCCGGGCAGAGGCTTGCGCTCGGCCACACTCGAGCCCCGCCACCAGCGCCATCTGCTCTAAATGCCATCTACCAGCGCCCGCTACCGCTACCAGCTACCGCCCACCATCAAGCCTGAATGGAGCGAGAGACGCGAGTGACCGGTCGCCGGGCAAGGAGCGCAGGAGGGGTAGGGCGGAGCTTAGCGCTGACGTCATTGCGTGGCTCCGCCCCATGAGCGCGTAGCCTCTACCCAAACAGCAGATTCGTTCCGTGAAATTTAACATTACGAGTGAATGAGAAGTACCTTTCATAATCGTTTGGCGTCAAAATACCTTAGTAATAAAAGTTTCGGCAGGTTCTAAAACACACATTGCCAGAATATTGTCAACAAGAGTTGACGCATTTAAAAATTATCGCAAAAAAGTGGGGTCTCAAGGGGTTTGACGTCCATAGTAGAACCCCCTCAGCCCCCCCCCCACCCCATCCTCACCGTCTCTGCGGTGTGAATTTTCGGATCCGTGTAGAGGTCCCCCCCCCCCCCATCGGGTGTACCCTTAGTGCTCACCGTCGGCGGTGTGGATCTGCGGGTCCGTGTAGAGGTCGCCTACCCCCTGGATGTCGACCACCACCAGCTCGTGACCCGACCTGGCGGCGCAGGTCACACGTCAGAGACAGGTAAGACCACAGGTCAGGTGACAAGTCAGGGGTCATGTCACAGACCAAATGGCAGGTCACAGAGCAGGTCACACAGTGTCAGATAGACCGCTCGGGAGCAAGGACACAAACGTTAGGTCAAGTTAGACCAGCGGAACAGCCATCTTTTACCACCAAGCAAAATGACACAATGACAAATGAGTGTGCCTGCGTGCGCCTTCCAAAATCCTCTCCCAACTGCCGTGACAGATAGACCCGGTATGTTATAGCGGCTCACCACTCCCTCACTGGTTGCTCCCCACCCTCCCGTCCCAGCTCACCGCTCCGTCACTGGTCCCTCCCCAGCTGCTAGTACGGGACAGACTCTGCGCCCACCGCCATCCGGTCCCGGCGCTCACCGCTCGAAGGTGAAGTGGCTGAAGGCCTGCGGTGTCAGTCGCAGGTTCTCGTCGCGCACAAAGCCCGAGTTGGAGTTGTACTTGACGTAGCTGCCGTCGATGAAGTGTTCGAAGTGGTAGAGTGGCTTGTCGGGACGCTCCGTCATCTCCACTACACACATCTGCATTATGTCCACCTGTAGGGGAGCAGCGTATGAGTGACACGGAGGGCGACAGAGCGCAGAAACATTCATAATTCACACCACAGTGGCGTGATGATATCAACCTGCGGAGGGACAGAGGGTGCACGGATAAGAAATAGAGTGGGTTTAAACTACCACTGGACTTTTTCTTTTTTAAAGCTGCACTTTAGTGACAGAATGATGCCCTCACTTTATCATAGGTAGTGTCGTATTTATTACATATCATGAAAAACCGCTCACCACAGCATTCCCATTCGACTAGCACTTAACAGCCATTTGATGCGTGGCTCTGCAAGAACCCTTCGACCCTAATAATGAGCACTCTCCCGTCGCCAATAGGCGTCAGTTACACCTTTTGGGCGGGTTGTGCCGGTTTTACTCCCCCCTCCCCCCCCGTACCTTTTTGGGCGGGTTGTGCCGGTTGTACTCCTCGCTCCACAGCTTGGCCTCCATCTGCAGCTTGACGTCGTCGAAGTAAGTGCGCCGGTCCACCGGCACCATGTATGCCTTGGCCACGTAGTTGTTACTCTCGCGGTGCCACGACGAGTGGTGGCAAAAGTTGCTCAGCTTCTTCCTGTCGGAGCAGAGTGAGACGTGGTTAGACGGGCGGAAAGGCAGGGTAAGGAGGTGACAGCGACTGCGCGGTAACGCCGATTAAAAAGGAAACATTTGTGTTCACTCAAACCCTTTTATTTTACAGAAGCTTATCAGTTCTCTCGCTAGTCAAACATGCCCAACCAAAGTCGGATTCCCTTTCAATACAGACCCACAAACAAACAGCGACAGCCCGGTACAGCCGTGGAAGAGGGGTGACGCACATGACGGGGTGTTATCAAATGCTGTCCAAGAACAACAGACGGAAGGGTTGGCGGCGTCCCACGGTAGGTGTAGCCTCGGACGGCCGACCCAGTGGCCGCCGGCCGCCGGGGACCGGGTCAGACACCCCGGTAACAGGGGCAGGGTTGGCGGCGGCCGGGGGTAGGTCTGTCTAGCCCCGGCCGGCCGACCCAGTGGGCGCCTGTCGCTGGGGACCCCGTCCAGACACCCCGTTAACAGTTAGCAGCGACCGGCGCAGGACGCCAACTTACTGTACACATGCGGATTGTGGAACCGTCGCGAGATTTATAAGCTAACCACTGATCCCGTCCCTGGCATTCACTCCGTGCTGGACAAGATCATATTCTCTAAGCCGGACCGCTACACGGGTGTTATCGTCTGCATCTAACCACCAAAACAGCCGAAAAAACGGCGTGGAGCCTCAGAAAAAGGCAGGCTGACTGATGACTGCTGAAAGCCAACCCTTAGAGTCTGACGACTGAATAATTCAGCTCGGCCTCTGAGACTGAGCCCCGGCATGACAATTTTATTCTAAGCCATTTTATAGCTCACGCCGTTGCTGTAGTAGCTGTAGTGTCGATGGCGAGTAGCGACCCGGGCCCAGGAGCATTCCCAAAAGAATAGAGAATCGGCGACATGAGGCCGAGCTGGAACTGCGCCTAAACTGAAGTCACCCAATACAGCTCTGTTAGTTAGCTAAGTGATGCCCATCTGGGCATCTACCAGACACATATAGACATTTGTATTGTAACTACGCACAATCGGTGCCTGGAATAGTAAGTCGGCGGCAGACACCCTTCCAGCGACTTTCCCAGACAGATATTATCCGCCGTCAGAGATTATACACGACGGCGCAGATCACCAACTACCTGAGACTGCGGACAGACAGCCGGCGTTTTCCTATTACCCTCAGACAGCTCGCCCTCCGCTCCCGCACTCCGCTCCCGTCGTAACGCTTACACCCTGCCTGTCGTGACTTACGTGACTCTGGCCTGTCCGACCCTGTGAGCCCGGCTAACCTTCAGTCAACCCTCCCCATCCCGAACGGGGCGTGAGTGGAAACTCACGGGGCGTCAGTGGGGCAGTACTGTCCCAGTCCATTCCTCGCCCCGCCCCGGCCTATTCCTCGCCCCGTGCCGTCCCATTCCGCTCCATTCCGCCGCCCCGTCCCGTTCCGTGCGGCCGCCCAGCGCTACTCACGCTCGGAAGCAGCGGCGCATGGCTCCGGCGTTGAAGTGTTCGGGCTCCATTTTGATGGAGACCTCGTCGGTGACCCAGGTGCCCGTGAGCGCCTTGTAGCGGTAGCGCGTGGCCTTCTCCGTCTTCAGGCCCTCGACGTCAAAGTTCTCCCACGAGTCGCCCAGACTGTTGGCCTGACGGAGGTGAGAGAAAGGCGGTTAGATGCGAGATGTTAGACGGTGGCTGGGCTCGGTCGGAGACAGTTGAAAGGGAGTACTACGGTTAAGGCGGCTGTGGAACTCGGTTGATATGTGAAAAATCTCGCTCACAAAAAGGTGTCAGGGAAGTCCATAGCGTTGAGGAATTCTTCCGAAAGGGGCAATGGATAAATGGGGGAGAATGGCTGCTGTCACTTTGTCACGGTTACAGTCGGAGAACTGTCTCTATTTTCGGTTTAGGGTGATTGTGTGGTTGGTCTTTGCACAGCGATAATGTGTCGCTCATATCACTCAGATGATCAACAAGCAGCATGCCAGGCGTTATCAGTTAATCGCCATCATTCAATACAGTCTTCGATTTAAAATTAATCCCACTCCAGTTGTGAGACAAAGGAAGGTGGCGGGGAGCGTTGTGGGAGAGCCCAGGTTAAAAACTGGGCACTCAACAGTCAACAGTAGGTACCCCGTGACGGGCGATACGATGCTATCAAACCGGACTGCAACAAGAGGCGACAAACAACGATAAAAAACAAGTTATGACAGGAGTCTGGACCTAACCAGACACTTTTAAACATATCAGGGATGCATCGCATGCTTCATGTGCTAACTCTTGGTGAAATTACTTGACCTTTCAATTGTTAGCGAATTGGTGGGCGGCTGGGAGCAAAATATGTCAACAACAAACTAGTGCGAGTGCCCGGCATTCCAAGTAAAACCAGCTATAGGCATCTTTACGAGATACTCAGACAAAAGTTTCAAGAGGTTTTCTTTCGCTAATGCCACACCAGAAAACAACAACTAATTCGTTATATAAGTATAACTAGCTACACAATGTGTTATAAACAAATCACAAACATTGTTACGCCAAATTGGAATCGTGAGTGACACTGCAATAAAAACACTAACACATCTACATTGTGTTATGTGTCAGTTGGTCAGGCCGACCAATGAGACCACCAAACAGCCCACGCAGTGACGCAGTATCCAAAAAGTCTACCGATTCGTCTCAGTGCCGAGGTCCGCTCTAAAACCGAAATGCGCGCGGCAACTGCGTAAGGGAGTGTGTGAGGGGCGTAGTTACGGGGTCTAAAACGCGTTAGGTGGTGCAGAAAAAGGCCACGGGGGGAGGAGGAGGCTACCGCCAGACTAAAACCCAGTCGCCAGTGACTAAAAACTCGACAAACGGCAATCCTGCAAACGCAAACAACTCTGCAGCCGGCGGACGGCACGCCGACACAGGGGCACGACAGACCAAACTCTCAAACGCAGGGGCTCACCCGAGCGGGGACACCAGCTCACCAGCTCGGGCGGGCAGACCACGGGGCAAAAACTGCTCACCTGGACGCAAAGCGCGCCGGTAGACAAACTGCGAACTAGCTAATATGAGGCACACACGGGCAGGATAAACAACACGGGCAAACGCACACCACACGCAGGCTACAGCTCCGGGACCGGTACCTTTGAGTCGCCCCTCAGCATGGCCAGGACCTGTCAGACGGGCAAACACGGACTCAGCACGGGATTCGAACCACGGACCTTTGGCGCGGCCACCGCCGAAAGGCTGTCCCGACACATGGAGAGAAGTTGTTTTCAATAACCTAGAAATAGGCCACAAACACCACAGTCTCAGCGCCGACATCTTTAACATAAGCATTTTGGACAAACATGCAGTGACACCAAGACAAACACCCAGCCTTAATTAGCGAACAGGCTCGACTAAGCCGAGGAGGAAAACTGGCGCAACGCAATTCGTGCGGCTCGTGGCCGAGTCGAAAACAATATTGTACTATAAAATGGTCAATTTTCGATTACAGCCAACAGGTCACTGACCATAAGTGCACCAGCAGAATGGAAGAAACCCAGGCCTTGAGCGACTCTTTCCCTATTGGAAAACGATTTACCTACAGCTTGTGCGCAATTCCAGCAGGGAGCCTAACAAGACACCCAGGTTGGCAGGGAGTATTTTCATCGACCGTACCCGCCTGCCCAATTCTATCAGCATGTTCATTGTTCATCGACGTTGCACCAAGCCAGATACCGAAGTCCGCATTATAGTCTTTAAAAAAACGATATCATTCAAAGCACGGCGCACGGCCCGACAGACCACCAAAAGCAGCCGAGTGTAAAAACACGCTGAGCTATAAATACCTACCCGGTCTGCCTCAGGGCGGCGCGCCGGGCCCGCTGTTGCATCAGACAAGGTCAACAAGAGCCCTGTGCCGATTCCGACCCTCCCCCCTCCCCCATCCCCCCCCCCCGGCGGGCGGTCGCCAAAACCCGACGGTGACGCACGGACTACGCAGTGAATGATGGATTCCTACTTTTGCGTGATAAATCACACAACTTGCTGGAGGCACAGGCGTAGCTGATATAGATGACGAATATACGGTTATTCAAACGATGCCTAAATAGGCACCTGGTAGCATGCTCATGCACGCAGAGGCGTACGAGATTGGAGAGCCACTCGCACGCTACTTTGAACATGTCCCGTCAAGATAACCCCGGATTCCTTCACGAGCCACCTTAGTTGCGGCCTGCGGGAATAAGAATCAAACGGCTAGATAGGAGCAGCGATACGCTATCTCGCCCTATCAATCAAACTGCGTAGGTTCTCTATCGAGACAAGTCCCGTCTAAAACCGACGGTCCCCGTCGGTACCCTAAGTACCCAGTACCCCCCCCCCTCTCCCAATCAGCTGAGCCCGGGTCACGTCGGGCTCTGATTGGCCGGCGGCGCTGTGACGCAGCACGGGTCGCGGGGAACACACCGCCCCCCACTGACCGGCCGGACGGCTGTACCGGCCGGCCTCAGCCCATACTCAGCACTGCATCCACCCCCTGTCTTCACCCGCCGCGGCTCGCGCTCATCCACAGAGCTGCGGTCTCGCTATCTGCAGCGGCCGTCCTCCCCTCCCTGCAGTCGAGCCCGGGTACTAATGCGGCCACCCGATGCCCCGTGTCGGTTGGAAGCCGCGCGCCCGAGACCCCAGTGCCGGGTGTCGTGTTAGTAGTCGGGCGCCCGGCCGGCCGCCCTGGTAACAGACTGGGCTGCAGCCCGCCTGTTTATACCACACACAGCTGATGGGCGGTTCCCACATGGACCGGTAGATGTCGGGCCGGACGGTAACGGACGAAAACGTACAACATCGGGAGACATCGGGAGGAAGCGGAGGCGCAGTCAGCTGATTATGTCCGATCTCTGACGGTGGATATGGGAACCGGTGGTTTGCGGCGTTTCCACGGGCCGGTTTGTGTTCGATCCCGGTGACGATACCGCCCCGTCAGCTCGTGGGGCAAAAGTTGAACACTGTTGAACTTTTTGTCCGTTTTCGTACGTTGACAGTTCAGAAGAAAGGCGATCTGAGCGCGCGGATATACATTTTCCCTACATCAACATAGTGAGACCAGGTTGTTGCACCTTTGTTTCATTTGTGGGAAGAATTGCATATTCATTATTATGTATGATTATGCATCTGAATGCAACTATGCAGATATTGAGGCTGCTATCTGTTCCAACCATGGGTGAAAGGGTTTCTTTTCCTTTGAAAGTGAAAGGAAAGAAAAGGGTTGAAAGGAAAGTGAAAAATGAAATAATAAATAAAAAACAATAATACAATGTAACAGCTGAGATGATGAAAATTCGCACTTTCTTGTCGTAAATTCGCTGCTTGCCTTTCCCTACCTACCACAGGCACGTGTCAACCACCCTGTCTTTACTTACCATTTATAATATAGATTGTGACACTCTTGATAACACTGTTCAACCCACGCAGTGCACACTGCACAACCCCAAACCCGCGTGCCCACGCTCTCTCTCTCTCGCTCTACCCGCGGTCAAGCCCGCGAATCTCCCTCCCCTCTTTTCCCGCCGGCGACGCTGGCCCCGCGCGTACCGTCTCCGACACCGCAATCTGCCGACCGCAGACTGCCGCGCGTACGGTCTCCGTCACGGATTGCGGTGTCAGAGACGGTACGCGCGGGGCCAGCGTCGCCGGCGGGAGAGAGGGGAGAGCGAGAGACGCTTACGATGTTTCCCCATATCTCACGGCATATTTACGTCTGGACAACGAGTTGCGTTGGAGAGGCCGGAAATAGTGGCGATTTCAGGACCGCAAGAATGGACCGTCATTGGAATGATTCTTTTTTAAACCGTGCACTGTTTTCGGCCGGAATTTAATAGTTACTACAAAATATTTTGTAATTACGTTTCCACCAAGAATGAATGCCATCAGGGCTAAATTTTTAATACTATTGCATTTTGTCAAGAAGCATATAGTGCTGTTATATTGCAGTTTTAGCGCGTTTGTTACAAAATATGAAGCGAATAAGCGTCAGTGTAATTCATCAACATTGCCAGAAGTTAACTTGAGGCTTGAGGGAAAGCTATGCTAATTGCTCTTGTTTAATGTTTATCCACTAAAATTTATTAAATATTTTGATTTTTGTATTACAAAAGGAGAGGGAACTATTTCATTTGTGCCTTCATGTCAGAATTGAAGGTGGATCATTAAATTTTCAACGCAGTTTACAAACAAGCATTTGGTCTTTCTCGTTTATAAGCAGTGGCTAAGAAAAGGTTGATCAATCCTGAAGTTCAGTCATCGTACCTCAACTTAGCAGCAAGATCCCCCAAGGACAGAGGATATATTGTATACATGTCCTGTAAATCAAAACAAACAAGCATTTGGTCTTTCTCGTATATAAGCAGTGGCTAAGAAAAGGTTGATCAATCCTGAAGTTCAGTCATCATACCTCAACTTGGCAGCAAGATCCCCCAAGGACAGAGGATATATTGTAAACCTGTCCTGTTAATCAAAACATTTTTGTGCCTTCAAAGGCTTAAGTTATCTGTGGTGTGTTCGGAGTTAGGCTATATGGCCGTTTTTGTTGTATGTTTATGTGGAGATTGAATATAACTGTGACCCTGTGCTTGTTTGTATACTTACGGTCAAACAGGGAACAGCACATTCACATAACATACTCACCTAGCACCTAACTCATAGCTGTACCCTGCAGGATCTGTACTTGTTCATGTCTCGAGCATTAAAGGGACTATCCCACCTTCTAAAATGTTGTTAAAACCAGTTAAATTGTGCCCGACTTTATAGATTGGATGACCAGGAACACGGTTCTGGCATTTATTTTTCATTAAACATCTTAGGCTTCCCATATTCCAAACACAAACTTTCAAATATGTGACGTCACAGCCCAAAATTACCTCCTTCCCCAGGCCACATAACTGTCATAAAGCTGATTCTTTTTACTCTGTAGGCACCACAACAAAGTTCAGACCAAGTTTTAAGCGATTTTTCAACGAACAAACCCATTTAAATCAGAATGACTAAACGAGGTGACGTCACACTAACGGTCGCTCCATGTTGAAGATAGGGCCTTGTACAAGGCCCATTTTCAAATGAAGGGAACGAATTTCTTCAACACCAAGAGGCCACGGGGGTTGCAACCTAGATAGATAGTGGTTTCTGAACCTCGCCGCAAACTTGGCTATCTCAACTCAAACCCCATGTTAAAGGTGGGATAGTCCCTTTAACAAAGCACTAAAGTAGCTTAGTAATCATTTCCCACATTTTCTGAGCATCTAACATGACGTACAGCAGTGCAGCGCAGCTTCAGAGAAGAAACACTTTAAATGCACAGACTCACACCAGCCACCCAATGAGCCAGTTCTCAGTTGACTGTTTCCCTGGACACAGCTTGGCAATGTGAGCTAACTTTTGGCAAGTTGAAGGTTAGCAGGTAAGATTGAGTTAGGGTGAGTACCTACCTATAACTGGGTGCTACTGCCATGCAGGTCTTGGGTAGGCTGCAAATATGTGTGATGATTGAGGTTAGGTCAGCTGTCAGGTTAGTCAGGTTCAGGTATGCTCATTGCTCAGGTCACATTTTTATGGACATTTGGCAAATTAAAAAACTAACAATCTGATCTAAGCTAGCCCGACTAAACATACACAACTACTGACTATAGGAACTGAGCACCTACCTACTTGTGCCTACATCTCATACCATGTCAAAGTAGAGTTCCTTGGTGGAAGATTACCCTCAGTACTTTTTATCCCAGCCCTGTGAAGAAAACTAATACTTCTAAGCTCTGAGTCACTGCTGGCCATCCACAGGAAGAAACGCTGAGACTGAGAGCTTTGCCATTGTATATTGGACCAATAATGACTATCACGAATGACTATGAACACATAATATGATCACATCGTTGCATGGATTGTCACATTTACAATTTTACTACAATCCTTTTTTCAAGGAATACAGTGATGATGATTAACATCAAAATCAACATAAAGTGGATTTAGTGATCCAAGCTGTCTCCTCCAGTAGCAATGGAATGATCGCATGTTTCATTTGCCAGACACTGAGTATCTGATGGACATTACAATCTGCATAGCATCTAAGCATAGTAAAACTGCCCAAGTCCATTCATTCTAGATTTTACTTAATAGTTAGCACTAATTTATCTTGCTG